GGCGCAAAGCCCGACAAATCCCAAACACCAAAGTTTCTTGCCTTCTGGGATCCAAGAATCCCTGCCAACGAAAAGCGAATTAAAACAGACCTCTTACAAATACCTTGTGTGGTCTCCAAGGTCCAGCACTTCCTGACACTGGTTACCCACTGGTTGGGGTTCCTGTCTATTTGTGGATCCTTCCCTTGACGGGGGGTAGTAACAAGCAAGCTGAACGTTTAACAATCATGCTGGTGAACTCTAGCTATGGACTCTGTACTTGCGCTACTGCTCAAAGAGTTTGCGTAACTTGCAGACCCGAACTCTCATCAAGCATGCTCCCCAAATCTTACAAGCCTGTACAGCTTGTGAGACCACAGCCTTCGCCCGTCCCAGAGCCATCGGCGATGGCAGCCATGACCTTTCCGTACCTGTGCAGCCTCTCTCTCGCTCTCTTCTTCTTGCTGGCGGCCCAGGGAAGTTGACCCCTCTCTCTCCTTCTTCTCTTTGCTTTCTTTTGACCTTGGGACGAACCCGCGCCGAGGCACGACCCTCTCTCTCCCTCTCTCTCCCTCTCTCTCCCTCTCTCTCCCTCTCTCTCCCTCTCTCTCCCTCTCTCTCCCTCTCTCTCCCTCTCTCTCCCTCTCTCTCTCTCTCTCTCTCTCTCTCTCTTTCTTTCCAGGGAGGTGCGTCACACATGGAGTTTGCAGCTCATACGGCCCAAACTGCAAAAACGACCCCAAGCTCCTACAATCCCGGGGGTGTGAACTTGCACGTCGTCCCACTGAAGATTGCAACCCAGCCAATACCCGTACTCAAATCCACCGGGTCGGATTCTCAGACTAACCCTCCTGCCTTCCCTGTCATCCTAGCCAGCATAAGCTTTCTGAACTCTATGCCTGGCGACGAGCTCCAGCGCTAGTCGGGCCTTGGCATTGCAGCACTGGCCCTGCTCAGTTTTGGGTCGGTCTACCTACATCCCTCATCCGGAGACCTAAGACCGAGGGTTGTGGGCCTTAAAGCAAAACAGTGATCCTACATGATCTCACTATGGTTGGATTTGTTCGGCCGCCTTTGATTCGAGGTTCATCCAGAAAGCCATGGAAGGCCATCTGGGATCAAGGGGACGCCGTAGCAGGCAGGTAACCCTGGGCTCGGGTCGCCTAGGTTGTGGCCTCTGCGTCCCTCATATCGGCTGGGCGGACGAAGAGAGAGAATCAATGTAACAAATGGGCTATTCCTTGACCATCTCCAGGGTTCATCCTCACACTGGGTTCGGGTGTCCTGCCTGGCCTCCTCGCACTACTTCTATGACCATTTCTGCACATGTGCACTGCAATTCTCTCCGCCCTACTTCAACTTCAGCGCCCGCCCCATCCCTGATGCGACCCTGAGTCCTAGCTCCATCACAAACCATCTAACCTCAAACCCGACAGCCCCAAACCACCCTGAAGCCGAAAAGGTCCTGTTCAATTGCAACATATCCCCTAAAGGTCCGAAGCCGCAAGGGCGAAAACAACACAACACTGAGTAATGCCTAAAACCAACACATCCCAAAAAACCAGAACCACGAACGACGAAACCTCTGAAACCCACGGCAGGCGACCATCTTCGGATACAGGCAGCTCAGGTACCAGTCGCCCCAGACCTCGACAGTTGCGAACGTTACCGTGCGTTGGGCATGATCCCAAAGACGTCTCGGCTTGTGTATGGGGTGAAAAGCTTGGAGCACGCGGCATGGTGTGTTGTGGTGCGTGTTCGTCGCGAGTCACGAGCCACAACAACTCATACAACCGCAAAACACGAAACAATGCTCTCATCAGACGAACATAAAGTCAGATCTCAGATCCTCAGCATGATGATTTTGAAACTGAAGCTGTGCTTCGGTTTTACATGTCAACATGACCTCAGGTAGTAGCGCACCTTCAAAGCCGCAAATTCGGACTCTCGGCTCCCCAACCAAGTGAATCGTCTGGATCAGCTCCGTGGAAGCCTGCCAAAATGTCTTCGAGCTTCGGCTTTAAGATGTTGAGGTATTTCAGGCTGAAGGGAGTGGAAGGTCTGGCTTCCTGTGTTATCAAGCTGAATGTTTCATACAAACTCCAGGGCACTCAAATGCTAGGACCTTGATCCTTGGGTGCCCCCGATGTCGTTTTTTGTTGTTGATTTCGACGGTTCATGTTGGGCTAGCGCTGGGCTCTGATGCAGCAAAGCCTCTGGACGCCGGCTGCAGGCTTTACAAGACATGCATAACTCTCCACTAAACTGGATTTGGAGGCAACTCGCCCCCCGAATGCCGATAAGAGTCCGACGTTGGGGCTGGATTATGACAGACACCTATGCCAGCTTGATTTCTTGACAGGAGGTGCAACATCCATGGATGCGACGAGGAGCATGCTGTTTGCGCAACCTGGCGGTTTTAAGGGTCTTCGGGTTTCTGAGTCCCGAGCCTTCCAGTCGAGGGCCAAGATTGAGAAATTACATTGTAGCACCTCTTCAACTAACATGGGGACCTCTCTACATTTGGACCTGGGTCTTGCGATCGGGGCATGCCAAGGTGGAGAACGTTTCATAAGAGCCCTTGAAAACCTGAGAAGTCATGCCTTGCGATCAAAGGTATGAAAGCCCGTTACCAGATCCTTGACATGAAGCAATCAAAAATGTTCGGCAGGCCAACCTCGAGCCAGTATTGCCGGCCCATAGCATTCCGCAGAGAACCCAGCCTGGTTAAAGAGCTTTTGCGGGGAGTTTCGTAGAATTGCTATGTCGCTGTCATGCTTTTCAGGCCAGGCTTGCGGGTGCCACTTTTTGGCATTTCGTAGGACTAACCACGTTTAGTGTTTTGCCACAACACCTTTCTCAAGTTGCAGGCAGAAGTAAGCGTTCGATCCCTGTTTTGCCGCCCATGTTGTTCTCGGGGCGGTCTCTTTTTCTGCTCCAGCTAATGAAGCTTTGGTCAACAGGTCATGAAGCCATGGTCATGGGTGACTCCTGTGAAAGGAGATGGACTCGACATTTTCAAGTGGACACACTGGGGACTTCCGCATGCGAAGCAGAGCTCATACGTCATACCACTCACCATGTGCCCCTGGTTTCCCTATCAGAACTGCCTCGCTAAATAAAAGATTTCCAGCGGCACGGGGCTGGGAACTGAGCCTCTCAAGATCCCATGTTTCAAAGATGCGGGGGAAAAATGCTGACCCCGCCTCAAGGGCACCTGCATTATTGATTCTATTTGCATCTACGACTATCCCAGACACTGCGGCCTTCTAAAGCTCCGAAAGCAAACCCAAAGCAACCACTCAGCACACGACTCCTCGCCAGACAGCCTCATCGACCGAATATGATCGGGGAGCGTGAGGAAGGGAGAGGCATGCATGGGTTGTAGGGCTTAGGCTTTGAGGGTATAGCTGTGGGGACGGTCAGGGTTCCTTTAAGCTTTCTTGAAGGCTTTCTCGATCAAACTCTTGAAGGCTTTTTTCGATCAAACTCTTTTACGGGATCCAAGCGGGCTTTCCCCAATGAACCCTACAAAGGGCGAACAATTCAGTTTCTGCCACGCCAGCAGAAGAAGAGATCCGTTAAAGGTTTCTTTGAGGGTTCACACAAGGGTTGGGCCTTGTGACACGCCTTCTCTACTCCCAAAACAGCTTTGACTGATGGTAGGTTCCTGTTCAAGAGGTCTAAAAGAACTTGGCACACTTCTCGACCAACAATCCCTAACCCCACGTAAGTTCCACTACTCTGCGACAATCGTTGTGCGGGCACGCTCCCTCCACAGGCTTATGTAGAACCCTGTAAACTCCCCAAAGGGTCTCCAGGCCTCTTGGCAGCTGCGTCAAGCCGCTGGGTGGCCTTGCAAGGGAGGTGGCTGATGAGGATTGGATCTTGGCTAAACAGCAGTAGACGCGCAAGAGAGTTTCAAGTTGAAAGTTCATGCAGTCGAGCCCAAGCGCCAAACCTCCAAAAGCCATCACCCCAAGAAGCAGTTGTGCAAGCACTGGGAAACCTTGCCTCCTTGGATCGCAGCGAGCAGTAAACCTGCACCAAGGTCGAGTGACGTGTGGTCTCAAGATGTGGTGGCCCTTTGTGCCATGCGCGTCTCCACGACGGACTCGACATGATTGAGACCGTGATCGGGAGCACAACCCTAGCCAGTGCGTACAACTTGTGCTTATCCACGGATCCGTAGTGCGTGAAACGAAAAGCCAGCCTCAAAACCTGAACTCATTCCCAAGCTTACGGCCTCACCTCGAAAAGGCTATGCTCACTCATTTCCCTTCCTTCCAGAGTCTTTGAATAACAAAAACCAACGGGCATTTTTAGAATGCTTGGAAATGTTTCGAATGTTCAGGAAAGCTTTCGAGAACTTCCTACTGGTTGACTCCGGTTTGGGGTGCATGTCGGCTGGTCTGAGCAGGGGTTCCATCGAGCTCGTCGAGATGTGGTGAGCAGTAGCGCCCGGTGTGCGTGTCCCCTACACTATGTAGCCATAGGAGCCATTGGAGCCACTTGCTTCAAAAACCCAATCTTCGGCACAAACGAACTTCCTTGAAGTAACATTGTCCTGTTGCATGTGAAACTACATGCAGTTTATGCAGATCATGCAGATTTCGTCCTCGATGCTTAGTTGTAGGGATATTCTGTGAAAGGCTTCGGGGCGTTTCGCGTAGCGGCGTTGCAGTCTCAGGGTTTGGTCATGCAGGGTTTCGGATTCTAGGTCATGGGCTTGAAGGGACTTGAACGCAAGTCTTGAGCAAGTACTGAGCCCAGCTTGTGCAGTCCCGCAGCATGCCGTACGAGCCTGCGTCTTCCACTTGCGCTGAAACTCACCTTCGAACAGCCAAAGCTGTGCACAGCGCACTGCACCAAGCTAACAGTTCAAGATCCGAAGATGGTTACAATCCAACCCGACATCCCCAATGCTCTAAACATCCCTTCGACACCAACCCACCACCATAAAAGCACAACTGCTGAATCCTTGAAACACACCTTGGAGGGCCCCAGTGCCACCGAGATGCTCAGGGACGGGTCGCGCCGCAAGATGTCGGCCTCTGTGGGATCCATGGCCTCCTGGGGCATTGGAGGATCGATCCTTCAAGAGTGTTAGTCTTGGAAGCTGGGGACGGTGTGTTCGGCCACCGACATCCTCCTTGTCTCGACACCTCTTTGTCGTCAAGATTGCTGAGCTTTGAGCTTCTTCAGGTTGCTCTTGATACTATTGATTCTAGAATTATCGTGGGCCATAACGAGCAAATACGCGATCATGACGCTCTTGTTCGTCGTCGCGCTCGAGGCATGGGCTTTGATTGTTGCACGGGCCTCGAAAATTTACAATTGATGATTGTCGAGTTGGGTTCACCAAGGGGTCTGCCGATCCTGGGCGGTGTGGTGGGTTGCTGCCCTTGAAAAATACAAAAACGCGCGGAGGATGAGGCCGCGCTGCATGAATCCAAGGCGCGTAGGCCTTGAGGGACACGCAAGAACAAGGTGCGAAAATGGAGGGAAAAACTACAGACCCCGAAGAAACTCTTGGGTATCTCCTAGGAGCCTCCCTCCTATTCGAGGGTGTGATGAATTAGGGCTTCCGGTAAACGGACGCAATGGGCCCCCATTAGAAATCACAATGGTCGTGAGAAGAGCTATAAACTATAAGCTTTGGCCGACAAGAGGATCTCACCACACTGCCTGACAGTGCAGGGCAAGAACCTGCCTCGGCAGATTGCAGGAACTTGCTGAAGTGCGAATAGTTGGCCTTGCATAGAGGCATGTCCAGGGCTCAGGGTCTGGGGTTCGGGATGAGGGTTAAGGGGTTGAGAGCCCTTCACATCGAAGGGACACCAAGAAGTACTAGACTTCGCAGGGCTAAATCCCCATGAGAGCGTGAACTTCGTGAACACACAGCAGAAGCTCTGAGGCCCTTCAAATCCCCACGCCATCAACTTAGCCAGGCCCAAAAGTTCCAATCCCAAAAAATCAGCCGAATGCAAGCTTCCATCTGCGTCTCTAAAAACTTCTTGACGGGGAGTCCGAACATGCTTGCGGGAAGGACACCGCAAACAGGTCCGGGAAAGCCGGCATGAACACGTTGGGCCACACCTGCAACGGCGCTTTGCTAAGAGTCGCTTTCAGACATGAAACAATGTAGGCATGTAGGCCTGAATCCTTTAATGCTCGCTAGCTAATAAATTTGCGCAAGGCCAGAGTCGTTCCGTTCCGCCTACACCTCTATCTTGTAGAGTTTGGGGAAGTGTCTTTTGGATCTGGGACGCTTTTGGCTTTGACAACAGGCGTGCTAGCCATCGGTTGCACGCGAAAGGTGACCACGCGCAGCAACCATAGCCACATCTACCACGCGGTGCGCTTCTGCAGCGTATGGGGGTGCTGGATGTGACAGCAGATGATAGGGCGCACTCCATACTTGAAGCCCAACGGCCCAGGACAGCACTGGAATCCCAAAGCGACACAGGGTTTTGGGTCTTGCGGACATGATCAAGAGAACCTTCAACCCTAGGACAAGAAGTACGAGTGTACGAACATCAAAGACATACCCACATCCATGAAACGTAAGCCGGCCCAATACCCTGAACAGGTAGCTGTCTTCGTTCGGGAGCGCCGTCGCAAGACGAACTGTCATGAGAGCAGGGTCTCCATCGAAAGAGCCCTCTCACAAGGGCAACTTAGGTCCTATCCTTACAGCTTCCAAACCATGCAGTCGACATGTTCTTGGCATGCAAGTTCCCCACAATCCTCACATTAATGATGGATGCAGGAGCCAAACCGGCCAAACCTGAACAGTGAGGAACACCGGAATTGGGCCGGTCAAGTGGTTTTGGCTTGGGGTATGAAGTGTCGACGAACCCACGTGAAAAGGTTTGACATCGCAGCTCCCCAAGGTACTGTGCTACAAGCTGCTTCTCCGACTATGTCAGACACTTCTCACAACTGTCATCTCAACAGGGTCGCTAAGTCTTGGCTCTCCTTGTTCAGAATGGGTCCTAAGGCTCGTCCCAATGCAAGCCAAACGCCTCAAGCCATAAGTCCAACCACCCCGATTCCAACCTCCTGAATCCTCTGCAGTGCCGGGAGTACAGCAGCAAACGCCACCTGTTTCAGCAACTGGTGTGCGTTTCCGCGTCGGAGTGTGAATCAAGTGTTATTTTGAGCCCGGAAACACGAACAGACAGCCAAACCTCAAACATCATGCGCCTAATCCAGACCCCAAACCTGCACCAAGCGCTGAGACCTGAAACCCTTAGCTCTCAGGCAGGTCTCGGCAGAACCGAGGCCGAGGCCAAGCGCAATGATGGTACAGCCACCGCCTCGTCGGTGTCGGGCACACCTTCCATACAGAAGTCTTCGGGGAGTTGGGACTACATTGCCCGGGAATGCAGCACGCAAGTTGCTCGAGACATTTTGCACGTGCATACTTCTTGCAACACCACTTCAAGGAGATGGGGTGTCGTGTCTCCAAAGTGACTTTGTTGGCTTGCAATATGTGGTTTCGTTGTAAAGATTGAAGTCTGACTGGCCAAATTCATGAAAGTAAAACTTACCTATGTTTTGCATGACTTGGGGGCGGGGGGGGCTTCATGGAAAAGATTGGTGTTTCCCCCAATGGTTCCGTGAACATAACCGATCTCATGGAACATGCTGGGTTAACCAATGTCCAGATTCCATGGTTTGTTGGAAAACATTGGTTCTTACCAATGAATTCTATGATTTCGCCCTCCATATTCATGAAACACATTGGTTCCATTTTTAACGTAGTAGAACTTACTCAAGAATCAACCCAATTCAAAAACTCGTCGTAAAGCTTGGGTGAAGAACCAGTAATTTCTGGCTAGCACCAGTCAGAAGATGGTCCGATGAGTTCTACTCACTCCATAAACGAGATCATCTTTGTAAACTTACAAGCCATGTGTTGAGTGATTTCAATGAGTATAAGCAGCCCCTCATTGCAAAATAACAGCCGACCCCTGATTATGACTAGTTTGGCTCGCCGGTTGTCCCAGTAGCTGTCCTTCATTCTCTTCCAATATTTTCGGCCCGTCAAAGAGTATAACTTATAAAGGCCGGTGGCCTCTTTGTCTGTTACCCTTAAACCTGAATATAGCCCCTTGATACCCTAAGAAGAACCCCCCGACAAAACAGAAACCCTACTTAAAGACACCACCAACCCACACAAAGTATAACACCTTGAATTTCTAGTTCGCCTCCAAATAAGCCCATCAAACTAGCCGAGTTCCTTGCATGTTTAACTTGGGGTGAGAAACTAGTAGGACGACAGGTCTCTTTCTACAAACTATGGCTCGCATATGTCATGCAATATATATATATATATATGTGTATGTGTGTGTGTGTGTGTGTGTGTGTGTGTGTGTTTGCGCAAGCGTGTGGCACACGCGAATTGTATTTAGTGTCTATTTGTAGAAGTCGATGTTAATGACAAGCAGCCCCTAGCTTAACAAACATTGTGAAAAGAAGGCATAGAACTTACGGAAACATGCCCTGAATCGTGTTGCAGATAAGACGATAAGTACTGTAGTTGGACACCCCAAACCTTGATGTTGCACGTTCTCCTGTCTCTAAGAACCCAATAGCAGCGAAAGGCATTAAACCCCAGCTTGGCACCTACATTCCGATCAACTTCAGTCCAATACAGCACTACCATGCACATGATTCACCTAAGTCTAAGCAAAGGTCAAACAAACAATCTGCAATCCCCGCGGGCGTGCCACCCCCACGCATCCGCCGCGCGAACCACAGGAGGGGATCTCCCTGGCTACGCCAAGGTGAGCTTGCTGTGAATGTTTCATGGAATCATGGAGTGAAGGTAGAACCCAGAGCCCAGGAAACCCAGGAACCCCAAAAATATTCCAAAGGAAACTCGACTGCACTCCTCTTCCCTGAACAATACACCCGTCTCTTCTCGAAACCTTGGAATGAAAATATTCTCCCACCCCGCGAATCCCCGACACGCCACGGAACCCGAAAGTTCGCAAGTAGCGAGTTTTGTTGGAGTTCAATGTAGATGTACAGCCCGATGCTTTAAAACCAAGCAAGGCCCTTCAAGACTTTACAATGCCCCACATACAACCCTATTCTAAGCAAGAAGCGCAAAGCCGTGGCATGCCAACACGGGCATCGGGCAAAACCGTCGACGAATACTTGCTAAATAACCTAAAGCCTTGCAATAGCAACCTGGCAGCAGCTACTGCATGTTATATGTTCGTGCACTGAGCATGAACTAGGTTTAAGGACCCTTGGAGTGTACCTGCAAATTCCATGTCAACGCGCCGCCTCTTCCAGGAGACCACGTGTCGCCACGGCTACAAAGGCACCCAAGTCAACAGCACCGGCGCCCAGGATCCGAGCGCTGCCTGATTGAGTTTGCGAAGCTTGTCAGGAGCTTTGGAGCCAGCCCTTTGCCGCAGTGGTTAAGAACGCTGATTTGCTGCCATGGTCGTGCGATTGCTTGCGTGCTCTACAATTTTAAGGCGCCAAACAAGCGTTCTTGAGCAGCTCTCAGCGTTGTGTTCTAACCCGTGTAGACCACTGCAGGCCTTAGCCACTCGTCTACAAGAATAGGGTAACCGACAATACACTGCGCAATGACAACGGGAGCCCCCAAAGAATGCGCAGACAAAAACAACACGACAGCCTGGCAGGACCGTTGAGGTTCCTGAAACTGCTTTGAAGCTGCTGTAAGTTCCAAAAGCTACTGGCAGGGACAAAAGGAACCCTTGAAAGTCAGGGTTTCGGCGGTGCATTTCTGTTTGGTTTTGGAGTTGCGTGTGACGGGTTTCGGCTTGAGGGTTTAGGGTTATGGGTTTGGGGTTTGGGGTTGGGGATGGAGGGTTCGGGCATGCACTGCTCTTTGGGTTGCATGTTACGGGATTAGGGTTTGGGGGTTGACGGCCTCGGGTTTGTAATGCTCTGTGGTTCAGGATTAGGAGTAGCCGTTTGGGTCTTGGTTGCGGATTCGGGGCTTAGGGATGCGGATTAAGTACACTGTCATCGGCCGGATGCTTGGAGGTCATGCGTATCTCCATGCCATCTGCGTATTAAAGCCCAGGATCCAACGCGCTCAAGCCTCAAAGCCTCTCAAACCCGCCTCCAGATGATGTCTCGGCCATCGCTTTCCTCTTGGCCTCCTGATGAGCTTCAAGGGCCATGGGTTTCACGGTTGACAAATTGTTGCGTCTGAAGCCCTAGACCCTGATCATCCCTGGGCGTGGATTCAGATTGTTTGTTCTTTGAGGGCTTTGGGTTTCGGCTAAGCTTGGGCTTTGCGGGAGTCAGGTCATCATCGGATTCAGTGCAGCCCTCCCTTACTGATCATAGACGGTACGGAATCACAGCGGAAAACTTGCAAACGCAAGAAAAACCTCTGTCTGAACTTCTACGCGAACCCGAACGCAGAAATGCTCTGTCCTAGAGCCTCAACAAATTAAAGCTACACCACGAATGTCGCGTCACTAGCCTCATTTTCAGAAAAAGCAAGCATGATGTCGTGGTTCGTAGGCATCTTGGGTCTTTGGCTTGGCAAGGGCCCTGAACCAATCCCCGATCGGGACATTGTGGTGGTTGAGGGAGGAAGGATATAGAGTGAGTTCGGTTTAAGGCATGCTTTTGGAGTGTTCTAAGCTGATGAGGCTACACGTAGCGGTCCATGGCTCCTCGGCGGCTGTGTTGCAAGTCACGACCGCCTCGTCAAGGACAGCCTCTGTGGCGCAGTCAGCCTTGGAATTGCCTTGATCATCAGCCTTTGCTATATTGAAGCTTGTCCGACAAAGACCTCTGGAGCATCGCAAGTGCCATCCAACGAGCGCCCATCAGCAAAGACCCCGAATTTAGTTACATGCAGGGTGATGCTCAGTCTCGTTCTACGGTAGTCTTGTTTGGCACATGCTGAGATTGCTCGATCCGCATGTCACTGCAGAAAGCAAGTCGAGAAGCGGCATGCCGGGCTGATTCAAAGGAAAGGGTTCGAAGAAACGTCTCTTGATGGGGCAATATTTTGCGGAGCAAGCTTTGGTTACGTAACCGGGCGGCGAGGGTTGGGGAGAGGACGCCCCCCCCCGCCCCGATTGCAAATATAAATCTCGCGTGATAGATGGGTTTGGAAAGGATTCACGAGGTTGTGAAGAAGCGTCTGTGGAGGATTTGGAATCCCTGCAGGAACCGAGCATGCGACGGTCCGACCGACTTCCGAGCGCTGTCCGACTGTCCGACTGACGTCTGTCCGACTATTCGACCGGCCGCCTTTTGTACACACCATGGCGATTGGATCCCTTACAGCCATGGCCATGCGACCCCATCTAAGCCGGAAGCGTGTGTTCGGACGGCCCAAAACAAGAAGGAGAGCTTTGAACCGTAGAGACCCGAGCATCCCTGGGCCCGAAACTGCAGCCCTCACCTCTCAGCTTCAGATTTGGGAGCTCTTGGATTTGAAGCTTTCGGTCGGTAAACTAAGTGTCTAAGTGCCGCCAGACCCCAAGGCTGTGACCCAGCCTTGGCAAAAACGTCTCCGAAGACTTGCTCGACCTGTTGGCTATGCCCAATGGTGCCTCAGATCCAAGGTAAATGACATCTGCGATCGTATCGTCCTAACGCCCTGTGAGAACGGATTGAGGTGGGCGAGCGCAGAAAGGCCAAGCTGCAATAGCGAGGCCGTGTGGCCGTGTTACCATGTTACCATAGCAACCAATGACTTCCAGTCCAGCGTCATATCTCCAAACCCAAAAATAACCCAAAACTAAGGCCCTGAAGCTGGTCGGTTGAGGTTGAGGGTATTGGGTTTGAGGCGGGGTGTGCTTAGGGGCTTAGGCCTGCTCGGGCAAAGGACGTGGGCCGTGTACCCGCTAATCTTAGGCAGGCCTAAAGCGGTTGGACCCCAAAAGTTGCGTTTGTTCTGCCCTCTTTCGGTGCAGGGTTGTCAGACTCGCTTGGTGTCCCGCCCGGTCTCCTGGGCCTGGTCCTTGGAGTGCCCACCCCCAGAGAAGCCGCCGCCGAGCGGGGGTGATTAACCAGAGAAGCCTACAGAGAGCCCCGCCGAGTATCCTTGGAGTGCATTCTTCAGAGAAGCCCGCAAGGAGATCCGCCGAATGTCCCTGGAATGCCCGCCGAGTAACCTGGAGTGCCCCGAGACAACCCGGCAAAGAATTCCGCCGGCCTGGAGCGTTTTCAGAGAGACCCGCCGAGTTTCCTTGGAGCCACCACCCTCCTCCCGAGACGCCTGCAAGAGTCCCGCCGAGTATCCCTGGAGTGCCCAACCTTAGAGAATTCCACGGAGAGCGAGGTATCCGAAATCACCTCGTGATGATCGAAGCAAATAATTCTGCTTTTGGTTCTGTGGGGATTACCGCAAAGCATTTTGGGAGCCAAGTCTAGCGCAGCAGCGGCTATTTAGCTGAGATCAATGCCTTAGAAGTTAGGAGCTCTTACTTTGGCCAGACATGAAGTGGGGCGGCATCGTGTAAGGCTACGGGTCAACAGCGGCAGCTATCCAAACCACCACTGTATGTTCCTCTCCAAGAGCCCATAGCAAAGCACGATCGCCCTGAAGCACCACATAGAAGCTGGAAAAGGCTGAGCGTGGGTCATGTCTCAAGGCCTGAACCTTCTCTGCAAAAGCTTGCCATCTAAATCCGAGACTCTGATCCCTGACAACCACAGAAAGTGCAAGTCCACTCGAAGCCAAACTTCACTCCGGTAAGCCACAAGGCAGGGGTGCGCCAGAAAAGAACCGATCGATACCAAGTTTAGGGCTAAGTGCCACTTCAGAAAACATGCATGCGCACCTGCAATATGCTTCAAAGCCCCCCGGTCCTTGGCCGGTTTAAGCCTTCAAAGCGCTTTCCAGCCCAGAACTTCAGACCAAGCGATATCAGTTTAATCAACCGAAGCTCTCCTGGCCCGATCGCCCCATATCCTGCAACTCCTTCTAAGCCCCAGAAGGCAACCACGGTATCATGACCTGGCCCAGCTGCACAAGGCACGGCTCGTCTGCGCAATCGCTGCCAGCTCGGTTCGTGAAACTGTGAAGGCGGCCCCTCAGCTGGAGGGTCTTCAACTCCGAGGCTTGGGTTGGGGTGGAGACCTTTGCAGCACTAATTGGTCATGCAGCAGACCAGGCAGCAAACTATGCACGTAGCCCTGGCAATTCGTTGTTGGTTCTGTTGTTGCTCTTGCTGTGACTCGCCATAGTGAGTTGCAAGTGGTCACGATGGGGTATTGGCCGATTAATTCATACACTCTCTGTTCTCGACCCCATCGCTCCAACGTTCTGCATTATTCAAAATTCCCGGGGGGGGGGGGGGGGGGGGGGGGGGGGCGGTGCATGTGTGAGAGACCGCGACGGTGTTCGCGGCTCATCGGCCATAGCGGGCGAGGGGCTTTGGGTCAGCACGCCTTGAAGGCCTGTTTTGCTTGCACTCATCGAACCTGATTGTTTATCAACCATTCATTGGGGTCAGTGACAATGTACATTATGGTTTGGAGTTTGGGGCTGTGGGCTTCAGGCGCATTTGAGGGGTATGACAAGCCATCATCTTGCACCGGTTCTGGGCGCCACGCTGGTTGCCGCGCCTTGACCAGCCTTGGATCTGTTTTTGCACATAAGATCCTACCTTTCGCAAGGTCGAAGGTTTACTGGCGCCAGTGGGGGCTTCTGGAGTGAGAGGTGAATGGGTTCCAGGCTTTGTGGGGATGTGGCTTTAGGGTCAGCATTCAGGCCCTTGGCCAAGCCCAGACCCTTGTGGCCCTCAACACCTCCACATGTTCAAGGGGGCGAGATGAGTGAGCTCTGGCTCCTGATGGTTTCAAGGCTCTTTTTGTTACTTGGGCAATCTAACGGAATGACATCGGTTCACACAATGACACAATCTTCAGGTGAGCCCGATGGTTTGGGGACCAGGTTGGTAAGAGCTTCACAGCCCATGCAATAATGGAGGCGTCAGGTGAATGGTCCAGACTTGTTCCACTCACTATGTATCAAAAACTTGGAGTGGAAAGCCTGGTTCCAGCAGTTGCTGCTGTTGTCAAAAGCCCAGAACCATCAACAACATGGAGCAGAAACCCTGGGACGAGGAGCCAGTTTGACCATCTGTCTTTAACAAACTTCCAGATCTGATGTGACATTCGGCTTCCGGCAGAAATAAGGTTTGTGGTGGAAGCATTGGTGCTTTCACAGACATCCAAGAAGGTCAGGCCCGCCAAGAATCTTGTGCGACTCACGTTTCTCATCTAGGTCCAAAGCAACTCCGAAACCAAGATGCGATCTGCACGCTCAATGCTGGCAGCTCTACGAGGTTTTACAGTGTCTTGAAGTTTAAGCCATGACATGCCCTGCGCAGAACACATCGATGAGAACAGCAAGACCCACAAAACCCACAAAATCCACAAAACAGGAACATAAAAGATCAAAACGAACAGAAGTACGAATCAGAAGAGCGTCGACAGGGGCAGGGCTGAAGTGGACGGAAGCGCGAAACACCGAAACAAATCACAAAACTCAAGGGCTGCAGTGCCATGCCCAACACATACCCTGCACAGGCCCCCTCCCAAATCCGCAGCCTCCCAAGATTCACGCGCTGCCGTGCAAAGGCGGCAAAGCCTTTGGATTGTGTGGCGTCGTTTTGGGAGGGTGCAGGGGCTTCGCGATTCGGGGCACGGGGGGTACAAATAAGCTAAGCTGGGGCTCTCTGAAAGCTGCAACCTATGGGAGGCAAAAACAATCAAACCAGGCAAGGCAAGCAAACCGCCGCTGAGCTCCGGGACTTGTCCACGAGACGGCGGCTGAACACCGCCTGGAAGGCCACCGCCTGATGCTGGGAGTGTTGGGGTTTAAAAAGGCTTTTTAAGATTCGGGGTTTCAGGCTTTCAGGTGGTTTCGGCGGCTTCGGCCTTTGGAGTTTGAGGCCTCAGGGCTCCAAGAAAGAAACCCAGCATCTTGACTTGGGATTTTGGAGTTGGGACTTAGAAGCTGGGATTGGGATTGAAGAACCAGGGGCTGGGATTTAAGATGGCCAATGCGTTGAGGTACCAAGCTCAGGACCTAGGATCTGGGAGTTCGCATATAGGATTTAGCAACTAGGGTTTAAGATTCAGGCAGGATCTACGCATTGGTAGGACGAGGATCTAGAAACTTGGATGTAAGATATAAGTGTTCGGACTCACTTCGGCAACGAGGTTGAAACTTGCAAGTCTCTTCTTTCTATAGTAGTCGTGATTGGGAGGCAGCCTATGATGATCGGCTGCCGAGGCTTCACCCTCTGCGGTGGTATGTTTCGATAGCTCCTAATCGGCGCGCGGCAATTTTGTGACTAGTCCGCTCTCGCCGCGCAAACTTTTGGCTTGGGGTTTAGGGTTTGGGGTTAAATAGTGGTGCCCCGTGTGGTAGCGATGGGGCTGTCATCATCATGGATGCGAGTTCGGGGGGGGGAGGGGGGGGATGGCAGACGGCAGGCATGGCTAACCCAGTTGGCTTTCTTTTTCAAGGGTGAGTTTTTCTCCGCCTGGGCATTAAGCCTCGCCCAAGAGAACAGTCCCAAAACTGTAATTCACAGGAAAGGCTCCTGAAGCATGGAGTTCCCAAGCTGAAAGCCATTGCCTCCTCAAGCAGTGCACTGCATTCGAGCGCACCCTCAGAGCCTGATGCGAAGCCAGGAAGCTGTATCTCAGTAGAAAGGGCTAGACTCATAAACGAGTGGTACCAAAGAGT